CTTGTGTTTCTTAGAACTTTCGGTATTGTCTGCACCATTCTTTAAAGCTATTTCTAGAGTGGAAATGATTTTGTATGTCCTTTTTTATTTATGTTTAGTGTTGGCCTAATTATTATGCAAGGCCATGCTGGAGAAATGGTACTCTGACCATAGAGTATTCACTAATTTTTTCTGAGGTTTTACATAGTTACTTATAGCTTGTTTCATTGTGTCCTGTCCCTTTTGTGTGTGTGTGTGTGTGTGTGTGTGTGTGTGTGTGTGTGTGTGTGTGTGTGTGTGTGTGAAGTTAGAAACTGTTATGTATTGACAGGCATGGATCAGTTGGGTTGGGAGGAACTTGAACATCCTAGCTTCATTTTCCAGATGTGTAGGTAGAAAAGCAATCTGTTAGGTTTTTGATCCATTGTGTCACAGGAAGTCTTTATGTGATAAAGTTCTTGTTTGCATGTTACTGTTCACTGGGAACTGTACGCATGGGAGCCTTTTTGCTTGCTCCATTCTCCATCCAGAGGAAAAAGAAGTTCCTATTGGCTAATAGAATATCGATTATGTAGGATTTTTTTTTTTTTTTGTGAAAAGTAACAAGTGGGAATGGGAATATGTAAGAGCTAAGCACAACTTTTAGTTTAGGCTTTAAAAAGTACATTATTTTAAACATGTTTGGTATGCCCATATAGGCTGTAAAAATGTGTATGCTAATAACTTATCTAATGTGCACTGAACATTTTACATGTATTGTCTTACCTTAACACTGCATGGTTTTTTATGTGAAGTGAATAAAGGATGCCATATGCACTACATGTCTTTGATGTCATCTCAGATAATGAATTAGCCTTGGATACTATCTTCAATTCATTTTAAAATACAGCTATCAACCCAACTGTGGACCTAAGGTAGTATATGCCTGTTTGTGTTTGTAGTGCAGAGACTAGAGCCCAGGACCTTGTGGACGCCAGGCCAGTCCTCTACTTCTGAGCTGCAGCCTTACCTGCACCTGTTTTGGAAAGGTCTATGAGAAAAAAAAAAAAAAAGAAAGAAAGAAAGAAAAAGAAAAATCAGAGTTTTATAATGTTCCTACGTACATTTTTTTTAATAAAAAAAGGTACCCTGTGCCACAAGAAAATGATCTGAAATTCAAATTATGTTTCAAAATAAAGGCTTATTGGGACGCCGCTGCACTGTAAGTGTCTGTGTCTGCTCCTAAGAGGAGCAGGAGCAGGAGAGTGGAATACTTGCAGCAGCAACTGTGGCTTGGAAAGCCTAAAATATGTACTGTCTGCCCTTTTCCTTAAGAATTTGCTGACCCTTGTTATAGTAGACTCTGAGGATTCAAGGAAACCATAAAAAATACAACAAATCACTTTTATGATCTAGAGAATCATGTTCTCCACTTTTAGAAGAAACAATAACCAAGGGGAGAAAAGCTAACAGGGTAGTATTTGTTTTATCATACATATTTTCCAGGAATTCATTTCTTTGCCATGGTAAAACTAATGGATATTTTCAGAGCTAGTGACAGTTTAAACATCTTTGATGATACAGTTAGTTATACATTTAGAATTCATATAGAAATTAAGGATGTTTGTCATGGTAAATATAAGAGTGCTGTAGCCTGAATATCCCCCAAATTACGTATATTGAAGTCTAACCCCCAAGGCACTGATATTAAGAGCTGGGACCATTGGAAAGTGATACAGTCGTAAAGGAGTGGTGTTAATGACCTTGCACTTGCCTGCCTCTTCTAGACATAGCCAGTAGCCACCATCTTTGCAGCAGAGAACAGGTCCATATCAAACCCTGTATCTTCTGATGCCTTGAATCTAAACTTCTAGCCTACAAAACTGCAAGAAATTTCTATTTTTTTCCTATGATCAGCCCAAATGGGCCAAGACAACCTCACAAATTCCATAATCAAGAGTGTGTCTATTTTTAATAAGTTTGCATACCACCATTATACCATGGAAGTTGAAATTTGTAGCCTAGTTTACCAATGACTAGCCTGGGTGAGTGCATCCTTCTTGGGCCAGAATATGTCTTAGCTGCTTACCTTCAAAAGCATCCCTCCATCCTCCCTAAGACCATATTTATTACATTGATGTATATTAAAACCATTCTCTTCCTCAACTACAGAGGTAATTGTATAGGATTTGACTGCAGTCACATTCTTGTCTCCCTTACTCTCAGTATCTGATTTCATAACAAACAGGTAGTTTCACAGATTTTCAAATGTGCATACTATGTCCACTCTGAACAAAATGCCATTGAAGGGTTGGGAATGTAGCTCGGTTGGTGAAGGCCTTTCCTGGCATGCCAGTGGCCTGGCCTGTGTTCCATCCCTAGCACTGCCTAAATCATATGGTTTGTTAGGATGTCTGGTGGCACAGTTGTTGAGCACACGGTGCTTTTCATGGATCACACCACTGATCCCAGCAGTTGGAAGGTGAAAACTGATGAGCACAGTTCAAAGGCAGGCAGGAGCGATGGCGCAGTGATTAAGAACACTAGCTGCTCTTCCAGAAGATCTCTTCCATTCTCAGCACCCAGGCAACTCAAGGGATCAGACAGCCTCTTCTGGCCTGAGGGCACGTTTGCATGTGGTGTACAAACACAGGCACAGCAAGCACACACATAAAAGTTGTTTGCTTGTTTTTGTTTTTGTTTTTTTTTTAGTTCAAAGTCATCCTCAACTACACATCAAATTAAAGGCCAGCCTGTGATACAGGAGACTAAAAAACACAAAACTTAAACACTTGAAGCCAAATATTTTTCTAGCCTCCATTTCATGATTCACTTTGAAAACTTCCAATTTGTGGAAACCCAAGCAGAGTTAGTAACCTCACAGCTGGAATGGTATGGAACCATAGCTTGGAGCTGGATGTCCAGCTGCAGAGGAGATTATCTTCCTTGTCCACGTTTGTACCAAAAGAGAAAAGAAAAAGAAAAGGTGAGTGTGGTTGGAGTTTCTCAAGGATTCTTTTTAATGTGTCTTGGGAGTGTTCGTGTGTTTCTAAGTAACATTCAATTTCTGCCTGTTTACTTGAGTCTAATCTGGTTTGTTAGGACGTCTGGTGGCACAGTTGTTGAGCACACGGTGCTTTTCAGGATTCCCATTAACTGACATTTGTATGAACTGGACCTTCCCCATTGGTTCATTTCACTTAAGCTATCTATCTATGTTGGGAAAAGGTAACACTTGTCCAGACACACTTGGTAAGGACAGTTCATGTTTTTATAGGAACAGCTTTTCATTGTTAATCTCTCTAAAAAAAAAAAGCTGTATCTACATAGCTCTCTAAACAAGATGTTAGAGGCTTCTTGTTAGGACAGTAAAGTCCTCTTAATTAAAAATCTCCATCCCATTTAAAAGTTAAAAAAGTTTTATTGAATTAGCTAATACACACACACACACACACACACACACACACACACACACACACACACACACACACATCCTGAAAGAGGACTAAGCTTTACAGCCCCCTGGTTTCTAATCTGCATGGCCTTCCTCTTTTTGCTGTCTGTTGGCTTGAAACAAAGGCCCCACTGAACAAGGAAAGACCTTGGTCTTGGGCTGTGTAATGTTTCAGGACCAGATTGTTTCTGCAGACCTGATGATTTCTAGTATTAAAAATGTAACACATACAGGGGATTTTCTCCCTCATGCTGTACCTGTGGGTGGTATGTGCAGAGAGTATCAAATTGAAATGAACAGTTCACGGTGTGCAGCCTGTTAGACTAGAAGAGTTTCCCAAAGCCTCACAGAAGGTCTTCCATCCCTGTCTGTGGGAGTCCTACAAAGCAGCTCTTGCCTATCACTATGTAACCCGATCCCCTTAATAATACTTGGCAGAGAGAAAACCTTTTAAGCAATGATCTCAGAGTGCAGAGTGAACATTTATTGCCTAATTCTCGGAACCCTACTCACAGCGAGGAAGCATCTATTAAGGCGCAGATTTAAGAATCCATCTGGAGCACAGCTAGGGTGAACTCAGTTTGGTGTGACTGTGGCAGTCTAGAACACCTTGAGTTGCAGTACCTCTTTCTCAATAAGGTCTCTGGTTATGTGATAGAGAGCAGCAGGCGGTCTCTAATAAAGGTTGGATGGATTAAACTGTTGTGTAGACCTGAGGACTTTTTGTGTTAGTTAGAATACAAAGACCCATTCTCCAAAGGGCAAAGATTTGCTTCAGGCTTTTACCAAAACTTCTGTGAGGAGAGAGGATGGGATTTTGGTCCTATTTGATTCTTACAACATAGGTGAATGGTGAGGACGTCTGGGAGCTTCACAGAGGTGTTTTCCCCTTAGAGTCTTGAAAGGTAAGAAGAGTTCGTTCAGAAGAGGACCTCTCTTCTGCATGTCTGAAGGGGAAATGTTTTTCAGCAGCCTTCTTGGAAGAGGTACTGAAGGCAAAGCTCCTAACGACAAAGGGTTTCCGGTATTGCTCCAGCCACAGCTTTCAAGTGGAGCTTTGCTCCTCCTCTTCAGAATCCCCCGAGACTCTGGGTCTCGCTCCAGCCGCCTGAACCGGCGGCCTGGTGACGAGACAGCGACTCCCTAGGCGCTGGGAGGCTTTGGAGATGGTGGGCTGGCTATCTGCTGTCCATTAAGGCGAGCTTTGGCCCTCTGAGGGCTTGGGGAAGGTCACCCCAGGGTTTAGGGTGAGGAGGTGGGATCTGGCCCACCCGCAGCAGCTCAGTCCCTTTTCCCACCACTCATCCCTAGGAACTCAGCCATTTGGGATCCCTGCCAGCTTCCCCTCTGCCGAGCCCTCCCCTTCGCAGTCACTAGGGAGGACCCACCCGGCTCAGATCCTCCAGCCCAAGTTTCCCGCGCTCTTGAGGGCACTCTTGGCTGGTCCTTCCCAGGCCGCATTCCACCAGTCGGTTCCGTGGTTTCCTTTCATTTTATTATCACTCTCGAAACCTGGCGATTAAGACGCGAAACCAACAAAGAGTTTTCTTTCCACCTTAACCTTGCACACAATCCTTTAACAAATTAATTAATCCTAATGAATTAACACTTCATTTATTTAAACGCGCTACAGTCCATGAATTAAATTTTCATGCAGTGATTAAAGGCTGTTAAAATATGCATGATTTCGTTAAAATTTTATAATAAATCAGGGCAATGTGTTACATGACAAGGCAACTATTTCCCAGTCCCTCGCAAGGGGCTTTGATTTGTGCGGGCGGCGGGAAGGAGGGGCGGCTGGCGGCAGCGCAGCGAGCAGGAGAGCCGGGCGGCAGGACCCAGCTCTGCACTCCCGGGCTTGGACTGGCTGCCTCGCGGTTTCCTCCACGGCTTCCAGACCCTCGAGGGATCGTTTCTGGAGGCCGAGGGGAGCCAGCGGAGGCCGGCGAGCGCGCCCTTCTCCATCCTCAGAATGTCCCTTGGGCGGAACTGCTGGTCCTCGCTGGTAGCGGTAGCGCGTCCCGAAAGCAGGGGAAGTGTGTGTCCCGGACCCAGCGGCCGGTCAGCGGTTGTCTGACACGGGAAGGCTACAGAACTTGCATCGTGTCGCGTGGGGTCAGGGGCCAGCGTACCTGTGGACGAGTTTGTGTGTCGTTGTTTTTTTAACCCGGGGACCTGGACGCGCCTTCTCTGAGCAGCGCGCTCCTGTAGCCTTGAGCCCGCAGGGCGCAGATGGAGCAGTGGAGCCTCTGTTCTTCAGGGCCCCAAATCCCAGAGGCCGGTGGCCTTGCTCAGCGGACAACAGTGATCATTTGGCCTGCAAAAGTAACAGTGTCCACTGACAGGCAGGGAGGCCCAGCACCGGTGAGGGGTGTTCTCTTGGGTCTCTCCGGGAGGGTTTCCTAAGGTAGGTGGGTTTGATGAGAGATCAGAGTGGAAATGGACACAAATCTCTATACAATGTAACCAACGCTAAGCGCAGTGACCTGTAATGAACTTACTTGGGATGCCCAATCCTGCTGCCAGGTCACCTTTGGGTGGGGTGGCCACATTCAGTAAGATGCCCCCAAAGGAAGTTGCATCTCAGCTAAATGGCCAGAAAAAGGAGGAGGGGGTGGGGGAGGAGGAGGAGGAGAGGAGAGAGTGGAGAGAGAAAAAGAAATTTTGGCTTTTCCCTCTGTTTTACTTGAGATCTCCCCTTGGTCCTAACTGCTGTCTATCCGAGTGCGGACTGAGGAGTCTTGGAAAAGACCCGGGTAGACCCAAAGCTTCTCAGGCCTGGACCTGGCAGACCAAGGGAGGCAAATGTGAGGGGTGGGGGTAGAAAGCAAGGACAGCGGCTTCCCGGAAATGCGCCTGGAGTCCTAACGTGGCATCGCAGGGTTCAGCTCAAGGGTGCACTAGGCCCCCGTGGACCACGCAGGACACGGTTACCAGCCAGCCCTGGTCTGGGCCGGCCCTGCCCCGTCCAGAGTCCCGGGACCCTAGAGAAGGTCCTGGCCCTGGGCAGGGCTGGCAAGGCTGAGATGCTCAGGGAGGAAGCTGTAAGAGGTCAGGCACCTCCCTGGGGAGGCGGTCCTGAGAGCACACCAATCCTTCCCAGTGCAGCTTTGGAGTGAGGAGGCAGGGGACTGTCAACGTGAGTCCTCCACTAGGCCACCTCCAGCCCTACCTAAGCCTACATGCTGTCTATCTGGCCCTTCACGCTGTGATGCCTGGCCTTTGAAGCTGGCACTCTGGGCCTCTGAGTTGCCTATGAACGCTGATCTCTCGCTGAGCCTGGAAAAGTGTCTCATGTTAAATTAGACAGTGCCTGCAGATACATGACTCCCAGAGTCTGGGCAGCACCGCCTGCCTGCGTGACCTGTACTTCCCCGTGTCACTCCCACCACACCTGCCACCGCTGTCACCACAAATACCCTCTTCCTGGGGCTTTCCCCTGTTCATAGACTGTCACCCCCTGGAGAGAAGCCACGGAGTTGGAGACTATACCGGAAACTCCGTTTCCAGCGTCCTGTTGGAAGGAACAAGCTAGTATCCAGATGGGCAGCAGAGGTCATGCTCATCTTCCCGGGTGAAGGGTGGGGCCAAGAGGAAGAGCGTTCTCCCCCACGGAGCAGCACTTTGCCCAGGTCCTCTGTGTGTCCTCACTCTAACTAACCAGTGTCTCTCTAGTTCTGTAAGGGGTGCTGCCAAAGGAGGAGGAGAAAATTAATTAATGAGGCAAAGAAATGTGTCTCTGATCCAGATGATAGACTCCCTGTCCCTGGGGGCAGAAATTCCTTGGAAATCAATAGCTGTGCATTCATTACCCTCTCTTGATAAAATGCAAAGCTATGAGATGGAGAGGGGGTTGGCGGTAATCTGTGTTGGTCATTAAACGAGAAGGTGGGGGGAAACTGCCCCAGAATTCATGCCGAGACACAGACCCTATGTGGGCACCATTAACCCAGGCAGGGGCCAACTAGTTAGAGCCCTTGCCATGCCAGCAACACAAAACAGTGGCATATGGGAGGGCAGTGCCTAGGCCTACCACCCTTTCCTTTGACCCTTCCTAAGGAAGTGTCCCAGGGTAGCGTGGAGCTGAGGGTATGCAGCCTGGGGCAGGATGGCTCTCCAAGCATCATTTTGTACTACTGTGTGTCAATCTGGCATCACAAATCCTACAGCTATAGCACACATAACCTCTTCCTGTTGCTTAGACCTGTGCATAGATCATAAACATCTAGAGATCAGACACTGGTAAATCACAGCTCCTTTTAGCTCCACTGCCTTGTACTGTCCCAGATCAGGGCTGAGCAAAGGTTTAAGGAAGGAAGAGGAGAAGCTGGCCAGGGGACTATGAAAAGAACAGGCAGGGTGCATCTGCCTAGGGCAAGCACATTCTGTTCCAAGTGCAACCTTCTAAGGAGACCCCTTCCCAGGTGTTGCCATCCCCAGTCAGCCTTGGCTTGTTGTGCACTTCCTGACTTTTTCTCTTGTCCCTGGCCCCATCTCTTCTTTAAGTACAAGTATTATTTAGTAAATCTCTGTTTGTTACAAGTGTCACGGTGGAAAACAAAATGAGGCACAGATGACCTTTGGATTGGACCCATATTTCCAGTCCCAGCAAAAAGGACAGGGTAGAAGTCTGGCCTTACTCAGAGAAAGAAAAGTACTCCAGTTGCCAAAGAGAGGTGAGGGAGGAAGGGAGTCTTGGGATGGTTAATCCCTGACTTCAGAATATTGCACCTCCCAGCGGGGTCAGAAGGTGAACTGAGGTTTGCTTGGGGTAGGTAAGGACACCATGCCCTCCAGCCCCCTCCCAGTGGATCCATCTGGCCACAAACCTGTTTGCCTTTCAGTCTGTCCTACACCATTTAAGGTCCCTAGAGGCAAGCATATCCTAGGGACCTGGGAGTCCAGACTGCTGGAGTTTGCTACTAAGAAGGCAGGGCATTCTGTCCTACACCCCACAAGAGAACACGGGGACCCACTGCAATGGGTGTCAGAAAGGATTAGGTTAAGATTAGATTATGCCCGGCCCCCCGGTGGGACAGGGACCAGAGGACTCACTCTTTCCCTCCAGCGACATCCCGCTCATGGTCCATTCCTGCTGAGATAAAGTTGCATTTAGCGCTCCCTGGGGAATCACATAATGGATGAAGAAGTGGCTCCTTCTTGCACCAGCAAATGAACATCCTTCTCACTTCTCTCTCAGGCTGGAAGAGAGGGAGGGGGTGGGAGGACAGAAAGGAAAGAAAGAAAAAGCCAGGGACGCCTGTGGGCTCTTCTTGCAATCTGAATAGCCTGAGTGGGTATCCTGAAGACACACACATTTTAAAGCAAAGGAGAATAAAATCTGCTGGACTACAGATTCAGGTTTACAGAAGTGAGATCTGCCCTTTGGTGAAAACGCAGACCTCCTTGGTATGTGAGTGACCTGAAAGATTATTTATCTGATCTCTGCTTCCCATAAGCAGTTTCTTGCCTCTCTCAAGCTCTCTCACTAGCAGATGTGATAACATCTGGACCGTTATTATCACCCTAGGCAAGAACTGTGTCCTTAGGGACTTAGGCACCCGAGCTGAGACTTCCCTGAGAGGCCCTTGATCTTTCTGCTACATGAGAGAAATATAACAGGTTGGTTAATTAATTTCTTCTTAGGTCTGATTTCACAGTCTTCTTCTTCTTCTTCTTCTTCTTCTTCTTCTTATTATTATTATTATTATTATTATTAAAGGCTAGACCAGACAGGTACCAGTTCCTCCAATCTGATTTGAATTAATATTTTGAATTACAATCTCCTATAAGTTAGCTTCATCCGGTATCCTGGGAAAGAAAAACAATATAAGCAAGCAGAGATAAAACGCCAGGGGCCAAAACGATGCAAAAGAAAGTCCCCTTTTCAACATCTCATTCTCCCTTCTCTGGAGTGATTTTCTTTTCCTGGAGTTTCCAGCAAAAAGTGTGTGTGTGTGTGTGTGTGTGTGTGTGTGTGTGTGTGTGTGTGTGGGCGCGCGCGCGTGTCTGTGTGTGTGTGTGTGTGTGTGTGTGTGTGTGTGTGTGTGACCGGAGAGGAAAAGATCCTCGGCTACACCCTGTTAACTATTTTTCCCTTTTGATGACAAGAAGCCTCAGATCACCTAGCGCTGCTTTGAAAAGTGAGTTTGTACACGGTGAAAGGAGACAAACAATAAGAGAAACGCACAATTTCATTTCAACAGCCTTTCCCAAGTAGAAAGCACAGGCTCCTTGTGGCTCCTAAGTGACTGTCACTGGTGGTGCCTGACACAGTTATATTCACAACAACAACAAAGTATGCAGAGAAATTAAATTACGGGGAAATCAATAGCGTCTGACTGCTTCAAACAACTGTCTGTCACGGCTATTATTCTCCAAGAGCCTATTTATAAACCATGAAAGAAACAAGTTCTGCAGCATAAAGACAGCGTCTTTCGCATCGCGTTTCTGTGTTGTTATTTTTCACCACATACAGAGGAATGCACGGGCATAATTTAACATCCAAATGCTTCTCTGTATACATTATATAACAGCTTGTTAGGCACCCAGTCGTGGAGGTGTGCCTAAATAATGCGCATATATTCTGGGTATGCGACAGGGTGGGAGGAAATCACACACACACACACACACCACGCACACACACACGCACACGCACACACATGGATGAGTGCGTGCATCCTCCGTCTTCCTCCAAAAGATGCCTACCCTTAGACAATAGCTGGGGCCTCTCTGATCTTTGCAGACCCGCGGTGGAAAAGGTGAGGCGTGCAGTGCGCATGCCTGGCCAGCTACAGGTGCATCACCTGCCTTGTCCTTGCTGGTGGTCACTATAAGAGCGGCTCCCACGCGCTGCCGGTGGCGGCTCGACGAGCGCGCGCGCGCTCGCTCGCCCGCCCGCCCGCCCGCCCGCCCAAGCACGGCGCCGCGGCCAAGGGAGAACGCGCGCCAGACGGACGGAGACAGCTGATGCCTGTCAGCGCGGCGGCGGCGGCGGCGGCGGCGGCGGCGGCGGCGGCGGGGCCGCGAGCTCTCGCGAGAGCTCCCCGGGCCGGCCGCGAGAAGTGGGGCGCAGGTGTAAGAGGAGTGCATCCCGTCGGCGCGCTGGGCTAGAGCTCTTGGAGGAGCGGGCTCGCGAGACCTGCGCGCGGGCGCTCTGCGCGGTGCGGTCCGAGGCAGCGGCCGGCGGGAGCGGCGGCGGCGGCGGCGGCGGCGGCGGCGGCAGCCCCGCGGCGAGGCCAGTGCGAGCCGCCTCGGGCCGCTGCGGCCGCAGCCTCGGCGGGGAGGCCGGGCGAGCCGGCGTGCGCACTTTGCGGCGGACTTTGCGAGTGTTTGTGGATAATTTCCATGCCAAGCCGTCAAGATGATGTCCATGAACAGCAAGCAGCCTCACTTTGCCATGCATCCCACCCTCCCTGAGCACAAGTACCCGTCGCTGCACTCCAGCTCCGAGGCCATCCGGCGGGCCTGCCTGCCCACGCCGCCGGTAAGCGCCCCCCACGCCCGCGGCCCCGGCCCGCCCGCCCGCGCGCACGCCCCCTCCCCCGCTCCGAGGTGCTGCATGTCGGGGGGCTGCTGTGTGTCGCCCCGGGGTCGGAGTTTTGTTTTATTTCTTTTCTTTTAAGAGGGGTCCCGCTGTGAGGCACGTGTGTCCAGGGGCGCTTAAGGTCGTGGTCCGTCTGCCCGTGCCTCTGTCCAGCGCCCGCGACCCGCGGGGCAGCTCTGGGGCCGTGACTCTCGACTTTGCTCCACTTCCTCTGTTAATTTCACGCCTGCACAAGGCGATCTCTAGGCTCGCTCGGGTGTGGAACACGGGTCCTTAGCTTCGAGTTACATCTCTTCTTTTTCTTCTTCTTTTCGCCCTTTTTTTCCCCCGTCTCCCGTTCCCTTTCCCGGAATGTCTTCCTGTGTCCCCTTCCTTCTCCGCCCTTCGCTGCTGCCCTGTCCCCTCCCCTTGTGTTCCCCTGCTCCTTCTCAACGCGTCCCCGACTCCTCCGTTCACCCGGCTCTTCCCACCCCCGTTGTTATTTTGGTTGCATTGTGTTTGCCTTTTTGCCTGTGCTTTTTTTTTCCGGCGTGTGTGTTTGTTTTTGTGTGCGTGTGGTTTTTGTTGTTGTTGTTGTTGGGTTTTTTGGTTTTTGTTTTTTGGTGGTTTCTCCCCCTTTTCTTTCCTTTTTTTTTTTTTTTTTGGTTTGGTTTGTGTCGCCTGCAGCTGCAGAGCAACCTCTTCGCCAGCCTGGACGAGACGCTGCTGGCGCGGGCCGAGGCGCTGGCGGCCGTGGACATCGCGGTGTCCCAGGGCAAGAGCCACCCCTTCAAGCCGGACGCCACGTACCACACGATGAACAGCGTGCCCTGCACGTCCACGTCCACCGTGCCCCTGGCGCACCACCACCACCACCACCACCACCACCAGGCGCTCGAGCCCGGCGATCTGCTGGACCACATCTCGTCGCCGTCGCTCGCGCTGATGGCCGGCGCGGGGGGCGCGGGCGCGGCGGGCGGTGGCGGCGGCGCCCACGACGGCCCCGGGGGCGGAGGCGGCCCGGGGGGCGGCGGCGGCCCGGGCGGCGGCGGCCCCGGGGGTGGCGGCGGCGGCGGCGGCCCGGGGGGCGGCGGCGGCCCGGGCGGCGGGCTCTTGGGCGGCTCGGCGCACCCGCACCCGCACATGCACGGCCTGGGCCACCTGTCGCACCCGGCGGCCGCGGCCGCCATGAACATGCCGTCCGGGCTGCCGCACCCGGGGCTGGTGGCCGCGGCCGCACACCACGGCGCGGCGGCGGCGGCGGCGGCGGCGGCGGCCGGGCAGGTGGCGGCCGCGTCGGCGGCGGCGGCGGTGGTGGGCGCGGCGGGCCTGGCGTCCATCTGCGACTCGGACACGGACCCGCGCGAGCTCGAGGCGTTCGCCGAGCGCTTCAAGCAGCGGCGCATCAAGCTGGGCGTGACGCAGGCCGACGTGGGCTCGGCGCTGGCCAACCTCAAGATCCCGGGCGTGGGCTCGCTCAGCCAGAGCACCATCTGCAGGTTCGAGTCGCTCACGCTCTCGCACAACAACATGATCGCGCTCAAGCCCATCCTGCAGGCGTGGCTGGAGGAGGCCGAGGGCGCCCAGCGTGAGAAAATGAACAAGCCCGAGCTCTTCAACGGCGGCGAGAAGAAGCGCAAGCGGACTTCCATCGCCGCGCCGGAGAAGCGCTCCCTCGAGGCCTACTTTGCGGTACAACCCCGGCCCTCGTCGGAGAAGATCGCCGCCATCGCCGAGAAACTGGACCTCAAAAAGAACGTGGTGCGGGTGTGGTTTTGCAACCAGAGACAGAAGCAGAAGCGGATGAAATTCTCTGCCACTTACTGAGGAGGGTGTGAGGTGCCGGGTGGGGCAGACTGGGGAGCTGAGGGGTGCGTTTCTTCTCCTCTGGCCTACTTCCCCTCATTTAGAGTGTCCGTTATCCTGCCTGCATTTGGGGAGTCCCTTTTCTCGCCCTTTCCTCAGCCCCACTCTGCACCCTGCCCCAACCGTTCCCCAGCCTAGAGGACAGGGGTGTTGGATGTGGAGAAAGATGGGATGGTAGGAGAGAATTGGGAGGCATTTGGGTGAGCACGGCGTGGGGGGAAGGAGAGCACAGACTAGAGCCGGGGGGTTTTGAGGAGCAGGATGGTTCTGGGGACTAGGGTGGGGGGGAAAGATGGGGGAAGAACCGGGGATGGACCGTTTTCTTGACCAGAGACACTTATCAAAATCATCTGGGGACCAAGGAACTATGTACAAAGACAAAACTACCAACCGCCACCAAAAACAAAACAAAATATAAAACCCTAGACAAATAAAGAAGGGGAAAATGTCAAAGAAAGATGCTTTAGGAATTTAAGTCCGGGGAGCAGTGTTGTGCAACTTCATTTACCCTCAAAGGAAGAGAAAAGAGCAATATCATTTCTACCACCGCCCCAACTCACAAGTGAGTCATAAGTGAAAACCAAGCAAACTGGAGCATGGAATTCCGGATAGGAAGCTAGTTGTTCTGTGTTTAATTTTCCCTTCTGAAATTTGACATCCTCACATCCATACCCTCTTAGATTTATTTCCCTTTCCAAAGAGATTCCAAGGCTTTGCCCCAGCTCAGGAAGGCTCTGGAGCTTAGCTGAAAGGAGTTGGGAGACTGGCTGGTTGTATAAACTGAACCTTCCTTTCCAGGAGGCGGATGCCAAAGTCCTGGGGCCTGTTCTTGGCCAGGTGAGGATCCTTAGGCAATGAGAGTCTGAAAGACAGAAATTAAGGTCTCTGAAATAAGTGTTTTATTCTGGGATAATTACATGATAACAACTACATTATGATTTTCTTCTTTTTCATTTTTGTTCATGTATCCATGAACAGATTATCTGAAAATATTTTTTTTTCTCTCAACCCCACTTATAGAACTTTACCTTAGCCGGCCCTTTGTTTTTTCATTCCGGATTTAAACTATCTGCTGAGTTGACATTCCTTGCTATTAATTTAAATGGAATGATAGGGTGAAAGTCTTAGGAGAGGAACTTCCATTTTTAGTTTTCTCCCCTGAGTAAGACTCAGCCTACTCTTCTAGGCCCTCTTTCTCTGCCTCTGGGAGAACATGAAGTTGTTGAAAAGCTGAGAAGTTTCTGCTTTCATTTGGGGGCAGAAGTTGGCTGTAAGAAAAATCACCCACAATCCCAGACGAGAGGAAGACTTTAAAGATATAAAGCCCCCCACCCCCTCAATTTATTTGTCTGAAATAGGTCTGCACTTCCCTGGGGAAAGCAAGACACTTGTTTCCTTCTTGTTGTTGTTATTCAGGGTCATTTAGTACTGGGGATAAATGTTGAGTTGCAAAAACTTTAGTTTGCACTATGAGTTTCCAAAATAGAAAACATATATGGTATTTCATACTAACAACCCAAGCTGCTGATGGATTTCAAAAAAAAAAAAAAAAGAGACAGTTGAAGGTGGTTTGGTGAAATGCCTGCTTTGTGTACAAGATACTGTTTGGATCTCACGTGGAGATGGTTTGTTACTATCCTTTAACCTTAACTAAAGGTGACCACAGAACAAATGAGGGGGAAACACTACTGTTTAACAAGACTGAAATCATGCATGATTCGAGAGGTGCAGAAAGAAATACGATTAGGTCTTACTCTGGTTAGGCGTTGTTTTAATTATGTTGTATATCATTGTTTGCAGCACAAACATTCTATGCATTTGAAACTGAGCACTAAACTGGGCTAGCTTTCTGGTAGACCGTTTTGTGGATAGTGTGATTTCACAGTCTACTGCCTGTTTCCACTGAGAACACAGCATTATTGTAAATATTTTCTTTCGTGCACAGGCTCACACAGTGGTTACAAACTGCCAGTGTTAATCCTGCAATGTCTCACTGACTGCCGCTCCTGTCCATGTTGTGTCTGCAGAGCTTTCTCCTTGGTTGTGTCTTTGCTCTATTGCCCCCCCCCCCTTCTATCAGAACCATTTCTGTGCGCCAACATACAACAGGGAGATGTGTCCCAGTACACTTACAAATAAAACATAACTGAAAGAAGAGCAGTTTTATGGTTCGGGTGCATTTTTGTGTTTACATTGAGCCAAGTGCTGGTAGAGCTGTTCAACAAATGAGACAAGACAACCAAAAACACCAAACCAAACCAAACAAACCCTTAACCAAACAAATTAACAACAAACAAGAAGGGGGAATAAGGGGACATCAAAAGAAGCGGAAGGATGAGATAGATTTTTGTTTTTGTTTTCTCTAAATCAGAATTAACTTTCAGAAAACTGGTGCTCCGAGTAAAATGGATTACTTGCCCATTTTTATCAGTGTTTTAATTTTAGTTACAGAAACTCTTAAGCCACAGCACTCGATTTGGAGTGGTGATGGAAAGTTGTAAATAGCCAGGCACCTGAAAAGCATTTAGGTTGAATCAGGGATGCAGGCATCTGGGTTTTGAATGTGCTGTTCTACTCTAAAGACACTTCTAAAAAATGTTGTAACTGAATGACTTTTCGTTGACAGTTAATAAATTTTAAAATTATCCTTTGATTTGTCCAGATAACTTGTCAAATGCTTCTCTTGGAACATTTTGCATAC